TAAATGAACATTAGATTGTATAAGTATTTTAAAAAGAATAAGATATTCTTTTCCACACTGGCTGATTTGTAGAGTCAAATGATAAGATGCACATGTCTAATTCTGGCCAAAATCTAAAAAAACATTTACCCCCAAATCACTTTACAAGTCATACAATTGAACTTTTCTGAATGGGTTTCATAACTTTCCAGAAAGTTTTCAAAATGGAGTAGGAATTGAAGAATATTCTGAATATTAATAATCATTTGCATGTTGCCTTTGGTCCACATATAGAGAGGGCATCCTGCAACCGGGAAGGGAAAGCATCAAGTGTGGAGAGGCTCCATTCTTCACTTCTTTCTATTGTTTTTAAAGTAACCTGAAAATGCCTTATTTGCATCCACTTCCTGAATGTCCTATATGTTAAGATTGGCTACATAAAAGCGATCAGCCTGAAACTAAAAAGCAGTTTCGCCAATATAAGAATTAATCCAAATCCTTCTATGAAAAACAAAAATTGCATTTAATGAAAAGTTAAAAGCCTGGTGTTTTCCATCTATAATTGGAAATGGTATTAAAACAAATTGCTACAAATAGGGAGTTGTAGGAAAATTGTCAACTCAGCATTACATTTTTTTTTTCCCTGAGATACCACGTCCACTCATAAGTGGAATCATCTGTATTGCAGGAGCTGAGGGGAATGACGGAGGAGTGGAGAGGAATGCCTTCTGATAAATCAACTACAGACTCAACATGAATAGTCAAATTTAATAATTTAAAGACTCATGAAGAAATAAGTGATGCCAAATGTGCTTTAAGAAAAATATCTGTTTAAATGATATTAATGGTAAGGCAGAATATAGCAAGGTGAACCATACTGATAATATTAAATTACCCCAAGAGGCTCCCTAGTCAGAATCCCTACGCAGAAATCTGCTTGCCAACTGTCGTTCCTTTTCCCATTGGTTTAGTTAAGGGTTGAAGTTCTTCTTGAAGTTTCTTTTTTAATCATCAGATCCCGACCTTACAGTTTTTGCTGACTACTTTCCTTCAGGCTGTCTTTGCTCCTGTCAATTTAGGATTTCCAGGGAATTATTCTTCTTTGAAATGCATATTCCAGGCTTGCAACGCTGGCATATGTACACTGTAGAGTAATTGTGGAGGCCAAATGTTTAATTACACATGACAGCTGGAGCTGTAGGAGTCCGAGGCTTGCTTGAAAACAACGTATGCCCTATGCAGCCTTAAGAGAAGGAACACAGTTTACACATACACACACATACCCACACCCACACATTTTGTCCACTATGTGTTTTAAAAAATTAATATCCGCTAAGTTCAACTATTCACACTTGAATGTATTTAAGTAAGCAATATTAAAACATTTTTTCCTCAAATCTAACCATGCATTTTTACCAAAATGCAGCTAAAAATTCTGGAAGACCCTTTTTTTCTCTGTGAATGATTTGAAGATAAACCCAAAAACATTTGGTTTAGGAAAACAAGTGGTAGAAAGACAAACTATAGCTCCTGGGAACACATTACTAAAGAGTTATGAATGAAAACAAATTAAAAAGAATCAACTGAAAATGTTGAGGGCCACAATTTTCATTATATTGTTACCAGTAAAATATACCCATCTCTTTTGTAGTTATAAATTACCATATCTCCAGCACGTTTATATACCCACAACAGGGAAAACAATGTGACATTGTTGCGATGTTATGTTTAACATTGAGGTTAAACTTAAATCTTAGTGAAAGTTTCCCTTTGATGTGTTGACACTGAAGATTTGGTAATAGCTGTTTCTCCCCAAATGTCACACGTTGAACATCAGTAGATGATCATGGAACAGTCCTTGAATGTTTTGATAGTGAGAATAATGATGGCGTTCAGTTTCCAGGATTGTATTGAGAATTTTAAATGTGTATGGAATCCTCATAACCAATCTTCCCACATGCTCTGACTTTAGGATTTTTTTGTTCTCCGTTTTGCTGGTAAGAAAATGCATGTCCAGATGGGTTCAAAAACTTGCTGAAGTAACTAACATAAAGATAAGTGGTAGGGCTGGAATCCCAGAGGCAGGTTTCTCTATATATCTTATTATATTGCCTCCAGTATTTATTGCTATCTTTTTGCAGTTGTCAATGGAATGAAGTATTTGCAATATATGTGTATTTAATAATGATAATAATAATAATTTATACTGTTAACTACCCAAGGTAAGTGCTTAAGTGCATCTGAATGGTCTTAGCACATAATCCAAAAACAACGAGCCTATAATACAAAGGAAGAAGGGCATCTATACCTTGTTTTACAAAGGTAGAGGAGTCAGAGGAAGGAATAATTTAAACAGTCAAGCACAGGACTCTTCTGTTGTTGTTGTTGTTGTTGTTTGGAACGGAGTCTTGCTCTGTTGCCCAGGCTGGAGTGCAATGGTGCAACCTTGGCTCATTGGTCCATCCCCCAGGTTCAAGCAATTCTCGTGCCTCAGTCTTTGATAAGCCAGGATTATTGGTGTCTGCCACCATACCCTGCTAATTTTTGTATGCTTAGTAGAGACAGGGTTTCACCATGTTGGCCAGGCTGCTCTGGAACTCCTGACCTCAGATGATCCACCTGCCTCCGCCTCCGAAAATGCTGGGATTACAGGCCTAAGCCATAGCGCCCAGTGACAGGACTCATTCAAACTGAGATGCATTTTAGATTACCTATGGCTAGAAAACACATGTAAAGTAGAGATTCAGCTAATAAGGGCAAGTGTCACCTCAAATCCACTTCCCACTTCCATCAATAGAAATCTTTTTATTTTTAAATTTATTTTTATTTTTAATGTTTTTATGAGTATATTTTACCTCAAAGGAGATGCTTTACATACATCTAGGAGTTTTCTAGAAATCTGTAAAGGATCAATGCCTCCTTTCCCCATTGTCACTGTAGCATTGCTGGGCCAAGAGCGGCACCACTTTGTCTTCATTCTGCCATATTCTACTTACCAGCTTGTATCATGCCAAACGAGACTTTCTTTCTGCCTCTGTCAAGAAACAAATAACCACAGCTTTCTTTATCAATTTTTAATGAGAATGTATCACCCCTGCAGTTCAAGCTGAAAGAGAACAGGATGAGCAATAACAATGAGGGGTTTCTGGGACTAGCTCTGGGTAGAATTGGAAAGACACTTTCTCTCGTCATTCCCTAATTGAGTAAAGGTAAATGACACCCTGGCACTATCTGCAATGCACTTGGCAATCATGGTTTGGCATAAAATTGCAGAGCTTACCTATAAAATGAAGCATTTATTTAATTTTAAAACAGAAAAATCTACAACATTGACTCATTTGCCAACTAAAAAATATAAAAATGTGAAATCACTTCAAATTGTTCAATATCATTTTAAAATGTATCCCATTTGTCTCGTCTCATTCTATAGGGGCCACCTGGTATTTCAAAGTTTTTGAGTAATTCCTTTTTTTTTTTTTGCAACTAGAAATAGTTTTCTTTAAAAATTTCTTTAAAAAATTTTTTTTAAATACCTTCAATATTTAGGTATTTGCTTTATTTAAAGTTAGGGTTCAAAAGTGTTTCTACTAAATTACTAATAGGTGAAGAATGGTTTAAACTTTATTGTATATTTTAGATAAGGTCTCATATGTCTTTTGTGCTGCTAAGAGATGAATTCTTTGGTTGTAGCTCTCTTGGTGCCACTTGAGAAGGCCTCAACCAGGAATGCTATTTGGTATTGGAAATAGGAGACTTGAAACCATTTTGTGGGACAAATTTTGATGAAAGAAATTTAATGTTTTACAAAAAGCTTTATTTATGAGATATTATCACCAAGAAGGGAGAAATTGTTTTTCTAATTGCAGGAATTGAGATTTAAACCTTCAAAGAGCATCACCAAACCTAACTTGATTTAGCTCATAATAGAACAAACAACAAAGAAACAAATTTACTCACCAAAGTGCTCTCCTACCCTGGGCAGTGTTGGAAAATTAGGCTGATCAGGAAGGAAGATAGGCAGGGTCATTATCAAGATGGGCAGATTCTTCACAAATAAAAGCTATTTGCAAGGCCAACCTGGGATTTTCTTGGTTCATTTTAAGAAAGTAGATATTTTGTAGTTAGTGGTGAATTTTTATGACATAGTTGACCAATTTGAGTAATTAAGCCAAAGTTCCTTTCCTAATTTTTCTTCCAAGTTGTCTAAGTCAAACTAAAAATTTTCTGGGCAATGTAGACAAAATATCTAGTTGAGTTTGGTTTTACTTCCTCAACCAGCAGAGTCCAACAGACTTTCCTGGAAGTTCTCTTCTATATATTGCTGTAATTTTACTGTCTCTATCTTCCCATTCTAGTGCCTTTGTTCATAGCCAGGCATTCCATGACAAATAGTTGACTTGTGGTTAAAAACTTGAAAACTGCTACATATTTGATTTGTAAATCAAGTAATTGAGTATATAAAAATAAAACTGGTCATGGTGTGCTTTTAAATAAATTTTTGAAATTCAGGCAATAAAGTTTAATGTCTTCTATTTGGGAAATATAAAATGTATCTTCATCAAAATTTACTTACTAGAAAACATAAAGTCAGCTGGGCATGGTAGCTCACGCCTGTAATCCCAGCACTTTGGGAGGCTGAGGCTGGTGGATCGCCTGAGGCCAGGAGTTCAGGATCAGCCTGGACAACATAGTGAAACCTGTCTCTACTAAAAATACAGAAAATTAGCTGGGAGTGGTGGTGCGTGCCTGTAATCCCAGCTACTCAGGAGGCTGAGGCAG